GGGGGGGGGGGGGGGGGTGGGAAACCCCCGCCACCTAGAATGCTTCAACTCTACACATTCTCCTAACGAAGGAGCAGGAGATGCCACTACCAAAAAAGAGTAGAAAATAATCTGAATGGATGTTTTATTTCTGAGCATATAGTATTTTTCATTTGGCCAAGTGACAGGAGCTGATTATATCTTAGATACAATTTTTAGATGGTAACTATTATTTGATATTTTAACCACTATATAGTGTCCTATACTATACATTTATGATTATTTAATTTATTGGAACATGTGCCAGTTATATTTTGGTCAGTAATCATCCCTTTTTTCTTTAGTTGTTGTGTTGTAAGGAGCAGATGATGCCATGGTTATTCAAATTGAAAGATTTTATAAAGATGATAGTATTTTAAGTTTTTAGTGTAGACATTCTATGCTCCTCTCACTTGTAGGCATTTTAGAAATCTACAGTGACAGGACGTTGACATGGGATCCTCTGAGATCAAAATGAGATATTGTGGCCAGAATATTGTTTCATAAACACCCACGTCTCATAAACTGTATAACTGCTGTCTAATAGATAATATTCATTTTTTATTTCTATTATGTGCATTAGAGTCTAGAACCTGTCTGTAGTTTAGGGACTTGTTGCATTTATGAAGATTCTATCAGGTTTCAAATTATTGTTTTTTTTTTTACGAATGTTGTAATGCTGGGTGGGGTGATAGCTTGAGTGCAGGGGTAAGATCCACATTTATTGGTCCTTTATGTGTAAGGAGTTGGGGGAGTGTGTCAATCTTCTATTCCTTGATTGTAGGGGTATTTGGGAGTTGTGGAGTCATGTGTTTCCTCGTTTTTCAGCTCTTAGAGTTATGCTGGGTTTGAGGTTGGGGGGTATAAGGGAGGAAGCGATGAAGATATGGCAAGCAGTGCCCCAAAAGATATTGTTGTCGTTCCTTTGGAGAGAAAGGAACAGGTGAGCCTTTGTGATGTTCTTTCTTTCTGTTTTTTCCCCTTGCAGAAGACTATGTCCTGGACTCCATCGTATTGATGTCCAGTGGATCTTTTTGGTTGTGTATCTGGAAAATAGCTGCTTTATGTATACAGTATGGTTTTGCCCCCTTTTCTTTCATGCTCTTTGGTGGATGCCCTCTGTTATTAAGAATAAGCAAAAAAAGAAAGATTGTTGGAACACGATGTTGCTAATTATGGAACATAATGAGCTGCTTTTGGAAAAGAAAGAACAGTCAGCTGTTATTAATTTGTCCATATTACATAGTTAAGTACCGTGGAATGATTTGTCATGAGCAGTTGTATGTATTTTTCGTACTTCACCTATTAACACGAATGTAGGGATACATTTGTCGACTATTGGGTCAATGGCAACATGTTGACAAAGGATATGGCAACTCAAATATTTAAAATCTTGAAGCAGCCAGATCTCAAATACCTCACTCAGGTGCTTTTCCCATTTCATTTTATCTTTGTTGTTTTTGATTGAAACTCATGGATTCATTACTGTCTATTATCTTTGTAATATCCATTGAATGTACTACTTTCATTGCTTTTGTGACCCAGAAATTGTCCTCCTGTATGCCATAATTAGGTTGGGGATTATTAGCTAATTTTTTCCCTTCTCACTTTAAAAACTGTTTGTGAACTTGATAATAGGATGACTTCAAACCCCTCCTTCGAGAACTTTTGGCAACTCATCCTGGGTTGGAGTTCTTACAGAGCACACCAGAATTCCAAGAAAGATATGGTATGTTCTGAATCAGTTAGTAGGTCTTTTGCTTGTGCCTCTATTTGATGGGATTGTGTTTCCTTCGCTATAAATCTGAGTTGCCTTGCCTTCTGCTTCTGGTAGAACATCAGAAACATTACATTCCAAACAACAAAGTTCTTCATAGAACTTTAAGTTGTCTAAATCAAAGTGCTGCCCTTGTGGATGCTGTTTTCATTTAATTTTTTCTTTTCTAATATATGTCAAGTGGATGGGGATGAATAAGTTTTAGCTTGGTAACAATCGTGTTCTCTTAAAAGTTTTAGGGGCCTATTGAAAATGAATTATCGATGTAAGACCATAAAATTAATTGTTCTGTATTTTTCTGGTAGATTTCTGCTCTTGTTTCCTTTTACTTTTGGTATGGTTCTGTTCTCGTTCCGTTGTGTTGCTTACATGAGCTTTGAGGCAAGTGTTGTTTTAGTTTATAGCTAGTGCTGAAATCTTTTCTGACCTGAATCACTGTTAATTACATTCAAATTTGTTCTTATACTTCCTCGTGCCCTATAAGAAGCCATACTCTTTTGATTCATTTTGACATTTAATTTTATTGCATTGGCCAGCTGAAACCGTAATATACAGAATATTTTACTACGTGAATAGATCGGACAATGGACATCTTACCCTCAGGGAGCTGAAACGCGGAAACTTAATTGCTGCAATGCTACATGCAGATGAAGAAGAGGACATAAACAAAGTTTTGAGGTAAATATAGCCGCTGAAAACTTGGCTTAACTGGTCAATGGATAGAAATCTCAAAATTCTGATTTTGCGTCTAGAGAGTTCTCTTTCCTGGGGGTTATACTTTTCTCTAACCATTCTTTGCTGAAAGCTCTAAAAAGCAGCAAGTAATAGCCAATGGTTTGACTTAAATTTTTTTTTTTGGATTAATTTTTGAGTTCATTTTATGTATGAAGTTTGCTTGAAGCATGCAAAAGCTCCTGCAACCTGCTCTTCTCAACCTATGTTTATGAGTCAGTCTAATAAGTCGGTGTGGTTTCTAGGATAGCTTACCAGTAATAAGAAATGTGTTCCACAGCAGTTGATCAGATAGCTTCATTTGCAAACTTCCCAGTTGAAGCTTGCACTTTTGGAGTATCAGGGTCTGGGAGAAAAGGAGAGGAAAAAGGAGAGATTCTTAAAATAATTTGTCTAGGATACTGTTTCCCATCACTCTTCTCTTATTTATATCCAAAAGATGTTGGAGGTAATTACTTGATTACCCTACTCTAGAATGTTCTGAAGAATAGAAATAATGGAAGAGAAGAACTCTAACACTCATATTTAAGTTGGAGCTTAGAGATAAAAAGATCCTAGTTTTGAAACAAAAACTAGTGAAGGTGGACCTAGCAAATGGTTTGACAAGAATATCTCCCAGTTGATCACTATACTTGACATAGGGAGTGATAATCTTCTTTTGGATCTCGAATAAAATGACAATCGATTTTGATACGTTTTGTACGCTTCCTAAACACGGGATTACTAGGAATGATAATAGTTGTCTAATTGTCATAATGAATTTACTAAACTATGCATGCGACGATTGTTTCAAGCCATATAGACTTCAAACACCATATTTTTTGTCTTCCTTAGAAACAACATATCCTAGTGGTTGAATTATATGCCCTTCCTCTTAGAGATACCCGCGTGGAATGGTATTCTTTATTTCAACTGATATAAAGATCAATCAAAATTCATTGCAACATAAGAATTGTAACAATGCTAAGAAGTGCAATGATTTAAAAGTCTCAAAAGTAATCCACATCATATGTTTGGATGTAGCCCTTGACAATTAATCGTGCTTCCATGCGCTTAACATAACAATCTTGATGATAAATAACAATGTAGACTACCACAACTAACATGCTTCTTCTAGAAGGAAGATGAGTGAGATTCCTTGTTTGGTTTTCATGAATAACATTCATTTTCTTATCCATAGTTAGTTTCTATTGGGGAGATTTGATGACATGTTTGGAGGAATTAGAAATTAAAACAGAGGACACCACGATGTAAAACAACAAAGAGATAAGAGAAGCCATTTTTTTTTTTCAATAGGAAACAACTTTTAGGGAGAATTACACTCGGACTCACTGAGGTTTTTTACTTAATCACTTAGACTTTTTAAAATTTAAAATATTACATACAGACTCCCTAAGGTTTGTACGCGCGTAATACTTAGACCTTTGTCATCAATGTCCATTATTATATCCGTTAGTAAATTACACTCAAATCTTCTGAAGTTTGTAAACGTGTAGTACTTAGGTTCTTCAAGTTTAAAATGTTATACTTAGACAAAAAATATTTCAATCAAAGATAAAATATCAAATATTTTAAATTTTACAACCAAAATTCATGTTCTATTATAACATTTATTGAAATAAAATCAAAAATAAAAATCTAATTTTTTTCTTAAAAAATCATAATTAGTACACAATTGATGATGTACAAAATAGTCTCGTGCATGATTAACAGTCGAGTGTGTGATAAGGTGTAATTAATGGACAATAAATAAGCAATCAATGACAGAAATGTAATATTGAGTTAACATACAGATATATAGTGGTTCGGTCCGGGTGACCTACTCTACTTTGGAAAACGACAACGGTGGTCGGGGAATCTTTATTGATGTAGTATGGTGAATGGGGGTGANTAATGTAATATTGAGTTAACATACAGATATATAGTGGTTCGGTCCGGGTGACCTACTCTACTTTGAAAAACGACAACGGTGGTCGGGGAATCTTTATTGATGTAGTATGGTGAATGGGGGTGAGAGCAATGGTTAGTTTCAGGAGAGATACAACTGCTTGGAGAGAGAGAATGTGTGTGGAGTGGTGTAGTGGCAAAACTCAATGTGTAGTGAGATGCCTCTTTCAATGGAAAAAGTTTACAATTTATAGGCATGGTGAGGTGGTGATGTGAGGGTAAGGGCACTTGCTTTTCGGGGAAGATAGTTACAGAAGGTAAGTACAATTAAGATAGCTTTGATCTTTGAGAGTGGGTATCCTGATAATCTCTCTCTCACGTACTCTTATCTTCTTGAACTCCTTGAATCTTGGACTGGGTTGGATTAATGAATCGGGCTTGGCCTGCCTTTCTAATGGATTTGGGCTTGCTTGATCAATTGGGCTTAGCCCAATTAAATCCAGGCTCGTCATTTGCTTCCAAACTAAAACCAACGCTCTTATCAACCATTTAAGTACCAACGTGTGATATTTAAAAAGCTTCTGTTCCATGACTTTTGTATTGTGTCAAAACAAACACTCGAAGTTTCAAAAATGTTTATCTAAGAAATTCCGAGTGTCATTCTACGGATCAACAATCCTAAAACATATAATTCTGTTATTAATCACCTAAGGTATGCCAATCTAGGACATTAGGTATCTAGGTCTCTTACTATCATAAGCTTGATGGGGATTCTACAGCTTCTTCTGCATATTTTTTGTTTGGTCTTCAATCTTGTTAATCCTTTTGATCATGGGTTTAGTTGAGATACAAGTACAAGTGATCTCATGGAATTTGCCAGTTATAATTAATTTCCTTACAAGGCTTGACAATAATAAAGCACCTTTGAAGCTCTTCATGCTGCAGCGGCTACATCTTTAAATCAATTATTGTGGGTTCTCTTCACAAAGTTTTCAAAACACGATAATGTCTAGCAGTTTAGCTAGAGAGATTATCATCTTGTTTGTATTAAAGACTAGGGTACCCTAGTGCAAAGCACATTTTTGTTACCATGGTTAAAATGTAAGTAGGAGGTTAATATTTTATTGTTATTAAAAAGTATGGTTATCATATTTACTGTGGTTAAAAATTTTAAATGTAAGTCACAAGATTAGGTGTTGGATCTAAATGATTTGACCCGTTGTCATGCTTTATGCAAGCAGAATGCTTTACTTTATTATCTAAAGCAAGCAGAATGCTTTACTTTATTATATAGATACACTAAAGTTTATAAATTCATGGCACATTATGCTCTCGTTAATACATCTCCTCAAAAGCTTTCTATATCTTCTTGGGTGTATCAAGAAGTTGAACTTTGGATGCTGCACATGATTCCATGGTAAGCCCCAACTAAGTCGTCACTAAAAATTATCACTTCACTTGTCCTCAATTTCTGTAGACCGAAGGAGGACTTCTTTCAGTGACGTAGGTAACATTTTTTTGCACTTGATCATCTAGTGGATGACTTTTGACATCATCTGGAGTTACCATGGAGGGGCCCACAATCAACTATTTACCAAACAAAAAGAAGACTGATATGATTTTCCGCCAATTATCAAGGAACACGCCCCACACTTGAGAGATGGCACTTAAAACCCCAAACCCTACAAAGAACCAAATCATGACCAAAGAAAAGTTTAAATAGTGGTTGTACACATAGCTGAGAGGCATGCTACTACTTCAAGCAATAATCACCTGCAATTAACCAATATTGTACGTACATAAATAAAAAGACTTGTTATGACCTTTACTTGATAGGGCTCCTTACCATCTATCTTGACCGGAAAGAGGGGGGAGGCTCTTGTGGAAGCTTTGCCCGCCCTTCTCTATTTTTAGGAATCCCTCATATTGAGGCGGCTTCCCAGACTCATAACAGACAACTAGAAACCAGAAGAGGGTTAGTAGTCTTTGTTGTTGCTGGTCCTCCTTTTGCTGAGATGGCCCTCTTTTTTTATTTTTGTTTGCTCACTGTGGTAATAAAGAATGAAGAAGTTGGAATAACTCAGAATTAGAGCGGCGCTTAGCCGTTGAGACCATCTGTTGTCTTTGTAGAGTCTCTTAGAAAGAACGGATAAATGATCAGACAAGACAGGCATAGGTAGCTTGACCGTATTACCCGTCATTGAAACACAAGCTGGAGATGTATCGGCCTATATTCCCACCAATGTGATCCCCANACGGATAAATGATCAGACAAGACAGGCGCAGGTAGCTTGACCGTATTACCCATCATTGAAACACAAGCTGGAGATGTATCGGCCTATATTCCCACCAATGTGATCCCCATTACTAATGGACAAATCTGTTAGAAAATAGAGCTCTTTTATCAAAGAATTAGACCTGTTATTAATGTTGGCTTATCAGTCAGTCGCGTCGGGTTTGCTACTAAGTTGAAAGTTATGAACCAAATTTGCGGTAGTTCAAAACAAAATTCACTCGACCACTTAGACTTAATGAGGAAGTCCACGTAGACTTGACGAGAACTTGTTGGATGAGTTCCGTTGCATTGCAAGAAATCCTTTTTGACATTCTCCCTTCCACTGAACTCCAACAAAGTCACTCCAAATGATCTGCCCCAAAACTTAGTCGCACTCCACTNGTTGGATGAGTTCCGTTGCATTGCAAGAAATCCTTTTTGACATTCTCCCTTCCAATGAACTCCAACAAAGTCACTCCAAATGATCTGCCCCAAAACTTAGTCGCACTCCACTGGTATGAATTTAACTATTGAAGCATAAAAGATGCTTAGATTGTTCAAAAAAAGTGATTGATTGAAAAAATCAATACCAATTTTCCTGAGAAACATAAAAAAAACTATTCGAATAGGTTCGAAAAATAAAAAAAATAAATTCACTATAATAGCAGCTTAAGGANCAGAGATAGATAGATGGTGAAAATAATCTTGTGTGTAGGATAATGTTTCCCAATCTATTACTTATTTACATTAGAAGGATATTGAAGCAATTACCTATATTACCCTATGTTAGACTATTCTGATTAATAGAAACAATAGAAAAGAGAACTCTAATATCCTCAATGTAAAGCAAAATTAAGAATGTCATGCAGATTTCCTAAAGTTATGATGGGAAACATATCATACATAGATTTCATTCATGTTCTGTTTTTATGCTAGTTATAACTTATCTGGTATTACTTTCTAGTTGCTTTTATCGTTTAATATTTTCCTTTTACATTTTCATTTTTCACCACAGGTACTTCTCTTATGAACACTTTTATGTTATATATTGCAAGTTCTGGGAGCTGGATACCGATCATGATTTCTTGATTGACAAAGAAAACCTTATTAGATATGGTAACCATGCACTTACCTACAGGATTGTTGACAGAATATTTTCGCAGGTTTGTGTCATTTATATGGTGCTTTCGTTCTTTAGGCCACATTGTTTGCTTTGCTCAAATGAGAAGAATATTTATCATTGATTGCTTCCTGTTGTCCTCTAATTTCTTTATGGTTCATTCTTATCGCAGGTTCCGAGAAAGTTCAACAGTAAGGTTGAAGGAAAGATGGGATATGAAGATTTTGTTTACTTCATATTGTCGGAGGAGGATAAATCATCTGAGCCTAGTCTTGAGTACTGGTATGTCTTCACCATCTGATTATTATCTTCACTAATATTGTGCTTAACAATCAACCGTTAGGTACAAATGCAATCTACCTGTATCAAATAAAATTATGCTAGATATGCCATTTCCTATATGTTTCTTGTTTAAACTTTTGCTTTTCATACGAAAACTTCATTATCGATTCTACGAGAATTTTTATGAAAGCCTTTCATTTGCTTCTCTTCGATGGAAGTTTTATTTNATGAAAACTTCATTCTCGATTCTACGAGAATTTTTATGAAAGCCTTTCATTTGCTTCTCTTCGATGGAAGTTTTATTTTCCCAGAATGTATCCTATTTTTTAGCCTAATTCTTCTTTTGATGATCGATTCAACCTCTGATGAAAAAGATATATCTTGGTTATATTTCATCTTTTTAACACGTTTAGTAATGAGCATAACGACCCTATTATTCCGATGGAGAGAAGAACCTATGATTAGCTTTTCGGGGAATTTCTAAATGAATAATTTCAACGAAATCTTTCAATTTCTTTTTTTACTATGTTCAACTCTATGTATTCCTCTATTTGTAGAGTACATTAAATGTACTGAAATGACNTTTTCGGGGAATTTCTAAATGAATAATTTCAACGAAATCTTTCAATTTCTTTTTTTTACTATGTTCAACTCTATGTATTCCTCTATTTGTAGAGTACATTAAATGTACTGAAATGAGTATAACAGAGTTTCTCTTATTCATATTAACAGGGACTATGGGCGAAATGTTTTTATGTGGTGCTAACGATTTAATTACTATCTTTATAGCTCCAAAATGTTTTANAAATGTACTGAAATGAGTATAACAGAGTTTCTCTTATTCATATTAACAGGGACTATGGGCGAAATGTTTTTATGTGGTGCTAACGATTTAATTACTATCTTTATAGCTCCACAATGTTTTAGTTTATGCTCCTACATATTATCTGGATATACCAAGAAAGATGTACGGTCTAATGAGGCTACTATGAAATATTTACTCATGGGTGGGAAAGCATAATTACAATAATTTCACGATATGTATAAATAGCTAAATATGCAATCGTTTACAAGAGTATTGAGTAAAGTATTAAAGTAAAGATGCTATCATGTTGATTTTTAGCCTTTCCACAGAGCACCTCCTGATGTGGGTGATTTTCAACATCTTGGTAACTTTCATTNGTATTGAGTAAAGTATTAAAGTAAAGATGCTATCATGTTGATTTTTAGCCTTTCCATAGAGCACCTCCTGATGTGGGTGATTTTCAACATCTTGGGAACTTTCATTGAATTAGTATGGAGGAAACAAACTCTAAGAGGGTAGCTTGTATGAAAATCAATTTCAATATGACTTGTTTTAATGTAAGCTCAAGACAGATGGTTCGAAACACCGTTTGAAGTTGAGAAAATTAAAGGACCAGTTTTGAGTGCAGCTGTGATAAGTCTCTAGGGCTAGATGGTTTTCTGTTATAATGTTTCTGGATTGTTGGGGGTGATTAAATTGGATTTGATGATTGTTTGCTAATTTTTGGTAAGAGGATTATCCCCGGGGCTAGTTTGGTTTTATACACGAGTGTCAAATTTTAAATGTGATTTTAAAGATTTACATAAACTTTACTAATAAATGAGAAACATGGATAAATGGTGTACTAATGAAGACAATTTGATGATTATGTATGTCTGCTAAATTTTGCCTTTGAAAAAATTGAAGACTATTTATTACTACAATCGATTATTCGAAAAATTCACACTAGAGGACTACACATAAGAATTGCTTCTCATAAAGTATTGATTTAACTGTGTGGTGCAATATTATAATTATGTCTTTATATAGGGATAGGTTATATAATTTGATATATAGAACACAATTATTCGTGGCTTGTCCTTGACATGCATATGTCCTACTTTTTTTAGAAATGTTGTGTCCATGTGTTTGTATCATGTCATATCCATATTTGTCCTTTTTAGACATAATTCAAGTCTATTTTATTGGTATCCGTAAATATAATGTTAGTCTTTTGACTATGTTGAGAGAGAGAGAAAGAGCATGAAAGGTGGTGGAAACTTTCATGAGGAATAATCCCCGAAAAAATAACTCTGGGAACTATGACTTGGCACAATGTTTTAGATGACAACGTCCGATATTCAATTGGCTGGTCAAATTTTGTGTTCATATTCTAGGTATGGTGTTAGTTGCAAATGAGACTTTAGATAACTAGAAGGAAAGAGTGGTTTTCAAGATAGATATTTAGAAGAGATATGAACTTGTGGACTACGAGTTTTTGGATATGGTTTTAGAGGAAAAAGGGTTTGGGTATAGGCGGATGATATGAATTCTTGGATGTTTTGTCTTCAACTAAGTTGTTAATGATTGTAAGTGGGAAACTAGGAAGACGTTTCAATGCTTTTAGATGCCTAAAACAAGGTGATACACTTTCTCCTTTTTTGTCTACACGGGTGGGTGCTGTCTTGAGTAGGTTGATGATGAGCGCTGAGGAGGTATGAAGGATTTGTGCTTGAAAGAAATGGGGTGGGCATTGATCATTTATAATTTGCAAATGATACTATGTTCTTTGTATTATGTTCTATGTTCTTTGCAAATGATATTATGTTCTTTGTACTATGGTCAATTTGCACTTGGTAGTCGAAATTTTTGAATTAATTCAGGTATTGAGGGTAAACATGGTTAAAAGTTATTTGGTTGGTATATTATTGTATCGCATGTCCATAGAATATGCTTGATACGTTGATTGAAATTTTGAGTTCTATTGATCAATGTCCATTGACATTTCTTAGCTTTTCTTTGGCTTGGAATCTTAGGTCTAAGAGTTTTTGGGTTCTTGTGCTTAGGAAATTAGGAAAAGACTCCCCTCGGTGTTGTCAAGCTTTCCCATATGCTACTTGTCCCTCTTTAAGATTCCATAAAGTGTTGTAATTTGTAAATGGAATTAAAAGGATGATGAGAGATATGGGATGGGTAGTTTTAAGGGAGGAATGATTAGGTGACGTAGGAAATTGTATCTTGCCCTTGGGGGTAAATAGGACTGAAGTGTTGGCAATATTTGGGCTAGAAACATTGCTTTAATGGCGAAGTGGTTGTGTAGATATAACGCCCCAAAATCTATCCTGGAAGGCATTACTATCTACAAACCGTCCAACCATGAGAGCAACTAAAAATAATCNAGATATAACGCCCCAAAATCTATCCTGGAAGGCATTACTATCTACAAACCGTCCAAACATGAGAGTAACTAAAAATAACCATTAAGTAATAAACCATTCATCAATTTGACAAGGAATAAATACTAAAGCCAATAAAACATTGAAACTTCTTCAACTTATAATTCAAAACTAAAAATATCTAGCAGCGGAATAATTAAAACTAGCTGAAACAATGTTTTATAGAAATCTCTCAAATAAAATAATCTAAACTAAGATGAAGTATCTCTAAGCCTCTATTTCAGGATCCTCATATTGACTCTCTCCATTCTCGAGGTCGACCAGCTCATCTAATGGTGGATTCTCCTCAACACTAAAATCTAAAAAATGTTATGGTAGGGTGAGCAATAAAGCCCAGTAGGAAAACCTTCTCAAATCTAAACAAGGTTTAAAAATCATGAAAACAGGTAAGTCACAGTTTGTAAAATAATATATATAATTTTAAAGTAAAACAGTAATAGTTTATCAGATCTCAAATTTACGGTATAAAATAATAGAGTTCATAATAGAATAGAATCATTCACAAAAATCATAACTCACAACATAATATCTCATATATGTAGGTTGACTATTGTGAATCTACACACCAAATCTATCTCGTCCACCCACAATACAAACTATCTCAAATCAATCCCCGCAGGGCCACAACACTTGTAACACTTTAGGAAGGACGTGTATCGACGTATTAGTATTGACGTATCCTTTCCTAGGAATAGTATATTAGCCCCCTGTCTCGGACTTACGTGGATAAATAGTGGTTAGCTCTCGCAAAAAATTAAACCCCCTACGAGTGTTAGGCAACCACCAAACCCCTCAAGGTAGAAAAACCTTTAACACTCTGCGATACGCATTCGAGTATAACCCACGTTCATTGCACCCAACATTACAAGAGATAAAATCAACATTTTTCATAAAATTCAACTACAATCAAGAATCATTGATCCATAACTTTTTTTAAAAGAATAATTCAGCAAAACATGCAAGAGATCCCACAAAAAAATATATTTGAATTGATAGTAATAAAGACTATGATTTTTTAATTAAGGAAGAATAGATCATGGAAGTAAATTATGTATTTTGTTCAAGAAATGAGTCATGGATTCAAAAGAACGTAAAAACATTGTAAACCAATTATTTATATCATAATAATGATGAAAGAAATATATTATATAACCCTAATCATCAATGAATGAATCTGAAAAAGAACCCCTACCTTTAATCCGATGTTTGAAGATAATCCTAGTGTGCTTGAATCAATCCCGAAGCGAGAGTCCTCCTCGTGTCTTTTCTCTTTCTTCCTCTTAAGCTTTCTAGGGTTTTCTTGGATGAACAAATGCTAAACTTAGGCCTAACGGTCGTTCCTTAGGTATTTATAATACCAAAAGTGGAGAAAACTCTCAACACAGATTATCCAACTTCTGCCCAGTGCGTCCGGACGCGTGTTTCTCCCGTTCAGATGCGTTTGACAGTCTACCCCCGACTTCCATATCAATTTTGACCTATTTAGAAGCCGATTCATGAAATTTTCGTGAAATACACTTTTGTATCCCTTGAAATCTAGTTTCTTCTCTTCAAAAATCAACTACATTGGATAGTAAAGTAAAAAGTTATAACCAAAATACTAAGGCTGTGTCAAATTCTTTTTTACCTAAATCCACTCCAAAATAGGTTTTAATTTCAGAATACTTCTTAACTTCTAATATACCTCATATTACCTCTCCCAAGGTTTTTTGACCTTCCAGATTCAATGGAAATCTTATTTTAACCTAAAAATATTGATAAAATTACTTAACCACACTTTTTAACTCAAACATCTCCAAAACTCAATTTATCTCAACGTAAATATGCGCAAAGCTCAAACTTTTTAATCAATCTTTCTACTATGATTCTAATTTTCTATCATCATTTTATTCATTTTAGGAGAACTCTTAAGATAATATTATCCTTATTTTAATTTTTAATATGGGGTCTTACAGTAGATTACTTATTGAGTGCGATTCTTTGTCGCATAATGTGATTAGAAGTAAAATATGATTTACAAGGTAATAGTTGGGATTCTCATGTGGTGGATTGGGGATAACTCGAAACCTATGGAAATCTATATCTTAGGGTTGGACTTCTTTATCTCAGTTTCTAAATTTCATTGTGGGGAATGGTGAACTAATTTGATTTTTGGAGGATATGAGGGGTGATAGACCTCTGTCCATCGGTGTTTGCTTGTTTATAGTGTTTGCCCCATTATCATAGTATGCCAATTGCTTTTTTCGTCTCATCTTTTTCTCTTCCTATTAGTTGAAATTTAAATTTTAGGATGGGGGTGTTGGCGTATATCGGTGTTGACAGCTCAGTACATTGGTGGAGGGGTAGTTTAGTGTAGTTTTCTTTTTCGTTTGCCTAATATAAAAAGGCTTTTTTATGTTTGATGTATTATCCTTTGGAGACTGATATAATCTTCTCTTTAATAAACTTCCTTCTTTTCTTCATAACTCTTTATATTGTGATCAATGTTAACACCTCAATGATTGAGAGATTGGTGAGCTGTCGTCCCTTTTATCGTTGTTAGAAGGTGTTATTTTGAGCCACCCAATTTCTAATAGGAGAGTGTGGTCTCTCCTTCCTTTTGGGGTTTTTAATTTTAAATTATTCTTTGTTGTTGTGTTGATTGGCCCTTCTAAGATGATTTGGAAAGCAAAGGTTCCCCTTAAAGTTCAAGTTTTATCTTGGACTACTTTTGATTTGCTTCAAAGGAGACAACCTCATCTCTCTTTGCTCCCCTAGGGGGGTGTTATGTACAAGGACAATGAGGAGAATGACTAGAGTTGTTTCAGATCATTGTTGTATTATGCTTCATGATGCTAAGTCTAGGTGGGGATCTTGCTTGTTTAAGTTTGAGAATATGTGGGTGGATCATGTTGACTTTAAAAAGAGGATTGGGGAGTGGTGGTCTGAAGGTGAGGCTGTAGGATGAAAAAGTTACAACTTTATGAATAAACTTGAGTAGGTTAAGTCGAAATTAAAGATTTTGAATAGAGAGGTATTTGAGGATGCTCATGAAGCAAAAATGGTCATTGCAAAGAGGATTTGGGATATTGATAGGATAGAGGAAGAAGGTTGATTGGAGGAGGGTATAAGAATGAAAAGGCAGGAGTTTAGAAATAAATTTGAGGAAGTGGTGTATAAAGAGGAAATTAGTCAGAGATAAAAGTCTATGGTTAAGTGGGTTAAAGAGGGTAATAGTAATTCAATTTTTTTTCATAAGGTTGTTAATGGTAATAGGTTGAGGAAAGTCATTGAGAAGCTGAACAGTGAGAATTGTTNAGGATAGAGGAAGAAGGTTGATTGGAGGAGGGTATAAGAATGAAAAGGCAGGAGTTTAGAAATAAATTTGAGGAAGTGGTGTATAAAGAGGAAATTAGTCAGAGATAAAAGTCTATGGTTAAGTGGGTTAAAGAGGGTAATAGTAATTCAAATTTTTCTCATAAGGTTGTTAATGGTAATAGGTTGAGGAAAGTCATTGATAAGCTTAACAGTTGATTTTTGATGATGAGAATTTGATTGAGAATGAGATGGTCCATTTTTTTTTAAAAACTTTATATTGTTGAGGAGAGTCTGGGACCTACTTTGAATTTAGTAAGAAGAAAGCTCTTGGCCTGGATGGTTTCATTGTAACCATTTTTTAAGTTTATTGAGATGTTGTGAAGGATGACTTGATGAGGGTATTTTGGAAATTCTNGATGATGAGAATTTGATTGAGAATGAGATGGTCCATTTTTTTTTAAAAACTTTATATTGTTGAGGAGAGTCTGGGACCTACTTTGAATTTAGTAAGAAGAAAGCTCTTGGCCTGGATGGTTTCACTGTAACCATTTTTTAAGTTTATTGAGATGTTGTGAAGGATGACTTGATGAGGGTATTTTGGAAATTTTTTCATAATGGAGTGGTGAATACAGTCACAAATGCTACTTTTATTTGTCTTATCCCTAAAAAAGTTAACTTTTTGAGATTGAAGGATTTTAGGTCTGTTAGTTTGATTACTAATTTGTATAAAATCATTGCTAAAGTTCTTTCAATAATTTTAAGGTAATATTTAGGTGAGACAAGTTGCTCGTCCCAAGGGGCTTTTGTGAGGTTTGATAGAGTTTAGATGTTGTTTTGGTGGCAAATGAAATTGTGGAGAATTATAGAGTTAGAGGTAAGGAAGGGATTGTGTTGAAAATTGATTTTGGAAAGCTTATGATCATGTGAATTGGGATTTTCTTAACTTTGTTTTAGAGGCAGAAGGGTTTGGAGAAAGGTTGAGAAGTTGGATTAGAAGTTGTTTGGAGTCTATGAATTTTTCAGTCATGTTAAATAAAAGACCAAGGAAAAAAATTTAATGTATCTAGGGGGTTGAGACGGGGAAATCCGTTATCCCCTTTCTTATTTACATTGGTGGTGGATGGTTTAAGTAGAATAATGGATAAGGCAGAAATATGCGATTTGGTTGAGGGTTTTATGTTTGATAGGGATAGAGTTGTGAATTGAAGGTATCTAGGGGGTTGAGACCCTTTCCTAATTACATTGGTGGTGGATGGTTTGAGTAGAATAATGGACAAGGCGAAAAAGTGTAATTTGGTTGNAAGGTATCTAGGGGGTTGAGACCCTTTCCTAATTACATTGGTGGTGGATGGTTTGAGTAGAATAATGGACAAGGCAAAAATTGTAATTTGGTAGAGGGTTTTATGGTTGGTTGTGATTTCTCATTTGCAATTTGCGGATGATACTATTTTTTTCTCTTGGAGGATGAATGGAAAATCCAAAATTTGAAAAAGGTTGTTAAGGTTTTTGGACTTATATTACGTCTTAAAGTTAATATGGAGAAGAGTGTTGTTATAGAAATTAACACTATTCATGATAAGATGCATAGATTGGCTTTTGAATTGGGTTGTTTTGTGGGTGGCTGGCCCTTGAAGTATCTTGGGTTCTCTTTGGGTGGTAATATGATGTCTAGATCTTTCTGAGATCTGATTATTGAGAAGGTTGGGAAAATGCTTGATGAATGGAAGAAAACCATTATTTCTGGGGGAGGTAGGTTAACTTTGGTCCAGTTTGTTTTGACTAGTGTTCCTATTTATTTCATGTCTCTATTTAGATTAACATGTTTAGTTGTAAGGGAAATTGAAGGCTCGATGGTGATTTCATATGGGAAGGATCTAGGAAAGGTAGTAAGGATCATTTGATTTCATGGGAGATCGTTTCTAGGCCTAGGGTTAAATGTGGTCTTTTAATTGAAAATTTATTAAAAAAGAACAAGGCTTTGGTAGGGAAATGGCTTTGTAGATTCTCTTAGGAACAAGGATCGTTGTGGTGTTCCGTTAGTAGAAGCAAATATGAATTACAACCTAATGGCTGGGATGCTAGTGGGTTTGATAGAAGTAGATTTCGAAGTCCATGAAAGTTTATTGCTCAAGGATTACGAACTCTCTCAAAATCTTAAGCTCATTGTGGGTGATAGAATTAGGATTCGTTTTTGGAAAGATTTATAGGTTGGTGAGGCTCCTTTATGTGAGATCTTTTTCGTCTTTATCTCATTTATTTGTTCCATGGCTATAAAATTGTGTCATTAAGTCATCAAAACTCTTCTTTCTTGTCTTGGGATTTTGGATTTCGGAGAAGTCTTAATGATTGGGAATGTACGGAGGTGGTTGAAATTCTTTCTTTGACTCAAGGNTCTTTATCTCATTTATTTGTTCTATGGCTATAAAATTGTGTCATTAAGTCATCAAAACTCTTCTTTCTTGTCTTGGGATTTTGTATTTCGGAGAAATCTTAATGATTGGGAATGTACGGAGGTAGTTGAAATTCTTTCTTTGACTCAAGGTTCTTTGGATCAAAGAGTTTGGACTATCGATTCTTATGGTATTTTTTTTTTTTTGTAAATCCTTTTTTGAATCTTTAATGGATGTTCCATCTCTTCCGTTGTTTACCCTTCGACAGTGATTTGGGAATATAGAGTGTCTCTTAAGGTGCAAATTTGGGTATGAATAATTGCTCATGGTAAGCTTAATACTTATGACGTGCTTCAAAAAAGAAGATATAAAATTTGTCTCTCACCGCAATGGTGTATGTGTAAAGGTGATGGGGGGAGTATTGATCATCTCTTTCTTCACTGCCCTGTTGCATTTTTACTTTGGTACTAGTTGTTTAGGTTTATTGATCATTGCTGGGGTGGCACCAAGAAGCATGTTTTCGATAATTTGTTTGGATGTTTTGAGTAGGGTTGGGAATAGGAAGTGGAAAACCTTTGGTGTTGTGCTTGTAACGCTATTTTTTGGAAGTTTGCAAGGAATGTTAGGATTTTCAATGATAAATGTGAGGAGGTTGAAGAACTTTGAGAACGACTTGACCTTTTGGCTTTCTTTTGGGCCTCCGTGACTGAAGATTTTGAAGGTATCCCTCGCTCTTGCATCATTTTGAGTTGGTTTGCATCTTGTGGAATGTAGTGTTTGCTCTTGCTTAGCATTGTTTTTTGTCGTCTTATGTTTTCATATCTTTGATTGGATGTCTTATCCAACTTTGATATGTCCTTTATAATTTTGACTTTTTATTAATGAATTCAATGTTTCTTATCAAAAAAAAAAAGAAAGAATAGCGAGGAAAATCTTAATCACCTCTTTCTTCATTGTCAGATCGCCTTTGCATTGTGGAATAGACTTCGAAATATGTTGAGATGGTTAGGCTCTGCCTTTGTTGAGTACTGCCATGTTTGAGTCTTTGAGATTGACTTAGGGGCCTTTGGGAGAAGTAAAAAACTCGGGTTCTATGGAAATCTGCAGTAATGGCAACTTGTTGGGTATTATGGTTGGAAAGAAATGCAAGAATATTTGAAGATGTGCAAATAGAGATTTGTTTGTGGGATTGATTTTGTTTTGGCATCTTTTTGTGCTTGGGATCATGTCATTTTTACAGGAGCCCTTAAATTTTTATAATAGCAGATAAGAAATATATATGCAAATTGCATCTGTTTTTTGTTTGCTTATCTTTGTTATTTGTAATACTTTGATGGACTATTGTCCTTGTGGTAATATTTTTATTATTAATAAAGTTTTTTCTGTTGTTGATAAATAAAAAAAATTAATGTGCTCTCTTGATTCATCAAGTTTCATGTTTACACTTACAAAGTTAGTCAGCTATATTTGCCCTTTTGCACACAGCACAAAGTTAATCACTTGGTTTTAAAAGGAATTATGTTTTCAATACTGGGACTAGATGATCTGGCCATTCCACTTGGGATTTCAAAACATAAACTCAGCATGTAAAGATATTTAATTTAGATTATTTCAATTAATTTGGTATCTTTTCAACTTGGGAGAATCTTTGGAAGATTGATGATCTAAGTGTTGACATCATTCTTGCAACTTTTCCATCTTTGAATATTGAAAGTTATTATGTTTTCAATGATATTTTCATGTGACACTGAATATTCTTGATCAGGTTCAAGTGCATAGATTTAGATGGAAATGGAGTTCTTACAAGGAATGAATTGCAATTCTTTTATGAGGAGCAGTTGCATAGAATGGAGTGCATGGCTCAAGAGCCTGTACTTTTTGAGGACATTTTGTGTCAGATAGTTGACATGATTGGACCAGAGGTTACTTTTATTCTATTAAAATTCTTCAAAGTTTTTGTTATTCCTTGATTCTTGTGATTTGATTGTTCAATCATTTCTTGTGCACATGGTGTATTTCGAAGTAATTTTAAGGATGATCTCCTGAGAAGCATACACTTTTAAGTGTGGCAGACACAGGCACTTTTGGGACACACTCAAACACGTGTCCGACATGTCTGTAGTTGTGCCCATGGTAAAATATTGAGACCTTAATTTCAGACATGTGTTTGACATTTCTTGAACATTAGGACTCAGAAAGATGGGATGATTTCTTATTAGCATGAAAAGCAAATTAATGAAGAGTTATTTAATTAAGACTCATATGTAATTATTATTAAGTTTAAAGGAGTGGCGGCATGGGAGATGTTTTATATGTTGAATATGGTGCTTCATAAGTTGCTACGCAATAGATATAAGATTTTCATATATTGTACCACTATACAGTATACACACATAGTACAAACTAAATAAGATTATATGCTAATATGGAATTTGCTATTCGTTTCGTGGAAGTGTCCATCACTCACTTTGTTTTTTAGGATTTTCAGTGTCTGTGTTCATATCGTGTTATGCATGTGTCCTGAGTCTGTCGGTGCTTTTTAATTCTGTTCTAATGGCCACTATAATTGATTGCAAATTTACATTGGTTTTTTGGAGTGTCTTTTTCNGTTTTTTAGGATTTTCAGTGTCTGTGTTCATATCGTGTTATGCATGTGTCCTGAGTCTGTCGGTGCTTTTTAATTCTGTTCTAATGGCCACTATAATTGATTGCAAATTTACATTGGTTTTTTGGAGTGTCTTTTTCCTTTTTCATTTACCAATAAATGCAAATCAATTCTTACAGTAAGCAGCAACGTTGGTCCCACATTAGGCATAGAATGTTTTTGTCTAAAAATTGGATCGGAACTTTTGTTCAATCTTCTAATCAAAAAAATTCCAGTTCTCCATCTAAAGAATGCACTATATTATAGCAGAAACCTTACTAACACATCTATCTGGGAAGAGAAATCGAGTTAAAGACATTCTGTGTTTGGATCCTTTGACATTCCTAGATGCTGCTGGGTTGGATTTTTCTTATAATCAGTTACTTCTTTAGGCTCATGATCAAAGCATCAGTGCATGTAGTATTTAGTGAATTTGGTTGTGATTAGAAGGTTTTACAAAGCTTCGAGTCTGATATTTGCTTAACGTGTCTGCAAATTGGAGAGCCAACCATTTGTTCATTCACTGTTTTTTTGTTGGGGGTTTGTGGAATAACATGTTAATGTGACTGGAGAGGCTTGAGTCTGTCCTTGATTAAGGTATGGGGTTGTTGGAAGAGTAAAGAAGCTAAGGTTCTTTGGAATTGTTTGTTGACGGCAGTTATTTGGTTATAGGAGAATTCAAGAAATTTTCATGGTTGTTTCTCTTCCACTGGACTTTGTCAATTTGTCGGATTTTCCGTGAGACTGGGACCTGGTTTTATTTTAATTTTGCATTTGTTGTTCCATTTCCTGTTTCCTGTATTTTAGTTTGTTCTTTCTCTCTTTTGAGGATAACTTGTCCTCCATCCGTATTTCTTCTCTCATATCTCTATTAGTATTCTCTCTAATGTATAAAAAAATGGTCTGAAAGAACCCTTTAGTTTGAAATTTGAATAGATTTGAGATACACGTGGGAAGATGGTGATGAAAGTTTCAGATATTTTGAGCCGATTCATGTGGTGTTACAATGAATAGGCCTTGCCTTCTTCGTAGCTGGCATCATCTAGATAACAATAATGATGTATAACACTATGGTTTCCTTACTTGCAGAACGAAAGCTATCTTACATTACGTGACTTGAAGGGTAGCAGACTTTCAGGCAGTGTTTTCAATATTCTTTTTAACCTCAATAAATTCATGGCCTTCGAAACACGAGACCCATTTCTGATTCGTCAGGTACAAGAATCGTTTCATTTGTTTGTAGCAATTGCTTGATCATGCCTTAGGAGATGCTCTAAACACATGCTTGATCACTGTTGACAACAACAACAATGATGTATTTTGAACAGGAGCGCGAGAACCCAACATTGACAGAGTGGGATCGCTTTGCACACCGTGAATACATTAGGCTTTCAATGGAGGAAGATGCTGAAGATGCCTCCAATGGAAGTGCTGACGTATGGGATGAATCACTTGAGGCTCCCTTTTGAGTTGTAGTTGGTAAGCTTCTGCACCGAGGTTTTGATAGAAGCGCTGTCAAAACAAAATTTATTTGGTGGATCGATGGTTCCATTTTATTAAGTACAAGTCATGTGAACATGCTTTTCAGCTTACTTGGGACCTGAACTCCATCATCGTGTTTCCTTAAGCATGGCATGCTTATGGCATGCAGCTGAGAATTGGGCTCATAATAAAATTGTTCCATCCCAACAAATAAGTGTGCTAAAAAAAAATAAGTGAAACAGATTTCCCTTGTTATTTTTGTGTTGCAAATTTTGACAATAAGTGAATGATCTGCAAAGCAGATGTATTTAGAAATGTAGATTATAGCTTAAATCTAAATAAGTGGCTCTATCTGATGGTGTGTCCTGGATATTTGTATGTGCCATATGTGCATTTATAGTGGTTAAGGATGGCATCTGGTTGCCGTCCATTACTCCTTCATAATTTTATTGCATGTATATAATTTTTTAGAAACCTCTCTGTCAGTTTCTCTAAGCTTTTGAAGGTCTTAAACTGCAGGGGTTTGTCGAGAATTATTCATGCTGGCTACCAAACAACTAAGCTGTAATTTTGCTGGAGAAGTGATTAAACGGGGTCATCAGACCAGTTCAACCTCGCCAAAGATATGTTATGAGTTTGACAGTGAAATTTCATTGGATCTGCACATAGCATGCCAGCCAAGCGATAGGTTTGTCGTAAGTGCGAAGTTTCTAACTAGAGTATTAAAGGACTTGTCGACAGATGGCTATTAGATGACAGGTGATTAGTGAAATCAGTTTATGGTAATTACACAGCTTTTTAGCTCCTTTTCTTTCTTGTTGGAAGGAATCATTGTTAGCGATTATTTGTTCTAGAGCTTGTGGCTAGTGCCTGTTTGATGCATCTTTCTCAATGTGTAGAAGTGNCTTTTCTTTCTTGTTGGAAGGAATCATTGTTAGCGATTATTTGTTCTAGAGCTTGTGGCTAGTGCCTGTTTGATGCATCTTTCTCAATGTGTAGAAGTGATGAAAACTAGCTGCTGTCTTTTGGTTTTATTTTTGATGTTTTTTGACTTCATTGGTTGCGAATATTATATTTGTGTAATGATTAAATTGTCTGCATCCACTGTCTTCAATTCAAATGTTTGACGACGTTCTGTTGTTTTGTTCCTACTTAAGAGTTGAGGGCTATTTTCTTGGGTACGAAGAAGGTAATTTGCTGAGGTTAACAGTTTTTTTGGTAATGTTTTTTTTTGTTGGTCGGATTACAATAAAAAAGTTAAAATCGACTCCAAAAGTGAGGGTCGATCCCAAATATTTTTTAGGATTGATCCTGAACACCTTAATTCTTATTTGTAAGGCATTCAGTACGGCACTAAAAACGTAAAACTTATTTTGGTACTGTAGTCTGTTCCTAGTGTTTTTTTCCGGAAAAGAACTTCGAGATATTGTACGAGTAACATGATAATTGTGTTACTTTGCCGGAAAAAAAAACATGAAAATTACGTCATACTCAACATCAGAGACAGAGAGAGAAAGAGGGAGGCAGGTATTGCCATTTTTTTTTTATTTGAAGGGCAAATAACTTGTATTCAAGAACACCTTTGATATTCCTTGTCATTTTGAAAATATGAGNTTTTTTTTATTTGAAGGGCGAATAACTTGTATTCAAGAACACCTTTGATTGATATTCCTTGTCATTTTGAAAATATGAGAGGTTAGCATTCTTTTAGAACTTCATTTGTTAAAAGAATTTATAGAATCACATATATATAGCACAATATAACTACCCAGTTGTCGTTCGTATATGGGCCGAATAGCAGTCGAACATATCTTACATCAGCAAACATAATAGAATGGGCCCAAAAAATAAAAAAACAGAAAGCATAACAGAAATCAACGCTTAAACTTATTAGGACACTCATCTTTTCGGTCAGACCCGAACAGGCAAACAAAGCTCAGAACTAGGTCTGTTAAACAATCCGAGTAACACAAACTTGGCTTGAACTCAATTCAGTTTTGGTTCATTTAAATTTGCTCAAATTGCAAAAATAAATTGAACCGGAGAAGCGCGTGGCTTGATCCACCCCGAATGTAGTTTCGTGTATGTATACTTCTAATTTTATTATCAAACAACTCCTGATCGTTCATTAAGATCCGTAATTAATTTTTTGTTTTTTTGTTTTCGAGAAAAGAGTGGTTTAGACTCGAGTTCGGTTCGAATGATTGTAATCTTTTATTGAACTAAATTTGAACAAAATTTTAAGCTCAACAGTTGAATTCGGTTCGCGTTTGTCACAACTAAGTCGAGTTTGAATATACTCAAGCGCGAGCGGCACATCTCAATTTTCACCCTCAGCCAGACTATGTGCAATATCAACATCACCTCTAGGAATCAGGGATATCAATTGAGTCATCTCAGTATCTGTATAAAATTAAGTCAAATCTTTCTTGAAACAACGGAGAATAAGACAAACCTAAGTGCTAGAGCATGACATTGGCAAGCCATGACGCATTCTCTATACGCCGGAGCCTTTTACTTCATTTATTCAGCATAGGTAATTTGTATATTTCACATTTTTTGGTTCTAGCCGCCTGTTTAATTATATTTGTTAGATGAACTGTCACTAACAAGAGTTGTTTATTAATTGCACCTTGTTCGAGTTGACATGTATAGTCCTTGAACTAAAAATTCAAGACCAGTAGTGTAAGATCTTGTGTATATATTTAAATTGGATAATAGAATGTTAACCATAATGTTAAAACAATTAAATTATTGTTATGAAGTGTAACTAAGGTAGGAAAGAATCGCGTAATTCGGTGTTGAGCATTTGGGGTTTTTGGGAAAAAATGATAAGTTCGAAGTAATTAGGCCTAGAAACGGTGAGTAACTTCTAAGGGTTTTTAGGTGGAAATAACATCAAAAATGGGTTTGAAACATTGAGAATCTCTAGAGAAATCATAGGGTTCAAATTAGAGGATGAAGGGGCTAGTTTCTGCACAAACTTGGGCATGTTTGATCTCATAATTATAAATCCCTTTCTTGCAAAATTTGTGACATTGATCCTAATTTATTGCTTTAATGATCTTGAATACACCGATATATATCATAGAGTATCTAGACAAGTTTCTTACCTCAAGGGGTTTCAAGGTTTCATACTACTCGTAGTGGATGTGTTTTTTCCCTCGCGAGGTTCCAAGGGTTCCCACTATTTGCTCACATAAGACTGAGGCAGAGGGTTAATAGACAGGTTTTGTTCCTTGTGGGTTCCAAGGGTTCCTACTACTCCTTGGGGAAATTGGTTAAACATATTGATTCTCATTATCTATTNTTATTCAGCATAGGTAATTTGTATATTTCACATTTTTTGGTTCTAGCCGCCTGTTTAATTATATTTGTTAGATGAACTGTCACTAACAAGAGTTGTTTATTAATTGCACCTTGTTCGAGTTGACATGTATAGTCCTTGAACTAAAAATTCAAGACCAGTAGTGTAAGATCTTGTGTATATATTTAAATTGGATAATAGAATGTTAACCATAATGTTAAAACAATTAAATTATTGTTAGGAAGTGTAACTAAGGTAGGAAAGAATCGCGTAATTCGGTGTTGAGCATTTGGGGTTTTTGGGAAAAAATGATAAGTTCGAAGTAATTAGGCCTAGAAACGGTGAGTAACTTCTAAGGGTTTTTAGGTGGAAATAACATCAAAAATGGGTTTGAAACATTGAGAATCTCTAGAGAAATCATAGGGTTCAAATTAGAGGATGAAGGGGCTAGTTTCTGCACAAACTTGGGCATGTTTGATCTCATAATTATAAATCCCTTTCTTGCAAAATTTGTGACATTGATCCTAATTTATTGCTTTAATGATCTTGAATACACCGATATATATCATAGAGTATCTAGACAAGTTTCTTACCTCAAGGGGTTTCAAGGTTTCATACTACTCGTAGTGGATGTGTTTTTTTCCTCGCGAGGTTCCAAGGGTTCCCACTATTTGCTCACATAAGACTGAGGCAGAGGGTTAATAGACAGGTTTTGTTCCTTGTGGGTTCCAAGGGTTCCCACTACTCCTTGGGGAAATTGGTTAAACATATTGATTCTCATTATCTAGTCTCCCTAAATTCCTTTGGGGATTTGCTATAGATTTGTTATTATTTGGTGGATCAGATATATTTCGGTGTGTGACATTCTTGTTAATCAAATTACTTATCCTCTTGATCGTTTACCAATATTATTTCACATCATGCATCAAATATATTGGATCATTGTTACTCACTTTTGTTTGCTCAAAAGTTGTATATCTATTTTGAAATGTGACTTGACATGTTTTCTGTGTGTTTAAAAACCTTATTTAGGCTTGAAAAGATTTATCTAGTGAGTTAGTTGTGGTCATCCTTACTTATCATTTTTAGATTTGAGTGTGGACACTTAGATAGGCATAACTAAGGATGTGGAGGTGGAATTTAAAATAGATCATAATGTCGATCTTAAAATGAGGCATGAGGATTGCCGATTTAGTTTCCTATCGCATTATTTCTTGATGTTGTAATAAGATTATGAATTCTTAGAGTTGAGCCAATTTATTATAAATAGTTGTTTAATGTGGTGATGTTGGATTTAAACTTTTGATGAGGGTTTTATGTTTTGGGTTTTAATTTAGATGGTGATGATGTTGCTTGTGGGTGAGTTGAATGTTTTTGTTAGAATGCTTCCATAGATTGTTCATACTATTTGGTTATAAGTCGGTTCCTAAATTAAACACCTCCATATTATTTATTTAAAAATGTGTTTCTCATAGAAAATGCGTATTTTCTTTAAAGTTATTCATAAATCGGGGAAAATTTTTGAATAAAACGAATTTTCTTTAGTTCATGCTATTTAATGAAATTCGGGGCGTGACAGATTGATATCAGAGTTATGGAATTAAGTCTTAAATGAGAGCTGTAGGGAATGGGGTAGCCAATTACAATTGTAGTAAGTAGAGGATGGAAGGAACACTAGGC